CCCAGAAATAAGGAAGATAGAAGGTCTGGAGTTACCTAAAAGTGGTAGCTCTTTGTTTTCTTTTTAAGAACAGATCATCTCCCTAGTAACTGTCGCTCTTTTACCTTTTAATTTCATCTTGTTCTTTCATTCATCCACACACTTTCTAGGAGTTCACTGTGCATGTGAGGGGCACCATGGGAAACACCCCAATGAACAAGAAACAGCCTTGAGACATACTTGCTCCCGCCCATGAGAACAAAGTCACCGCAGCATGAGTTTGGAGAAAAGGCCGTTCTCCCAGGTGGAGAGAATCAGGGAAGACTTCCTGTAGGAGCCAGAGTTTGATCTGGACCTTGAAGAATAGATGTTGGATTTTAATATGTGGAAATATGGAGAGAGAGGAAGAATATGGGAAAAGCCTAAGAATCCCAGTGTGTCCACAGACAGGGACTAACCCAGATCACCATTCTCTGCCTCTGTGCACCCGTGCAAAGCCTCCGTCCAAGGCCAAGTGCGTCAGGTGAGTGCTCTCTCTGCCAAAACAGCTGAAGATGTCTTAGTGCTTTTACACGAACGACTACACTAACATGTCTTTGCTCGAAACAATGACTGCGCCCATCACACACCTGGAGGTAAATTAGCCTGTGAACACAGGAAAGGCAAGGAGGACTTCTGGAGGAGCATTTCTGTCAGCTCAGAAGGTGAGGAATAATAGCTGCGATGTATAAAATACCGCCTTTGTGTTGGCCACACTACATTCCCACTCTCTGATCGCCCCTCATGAAAATGCTGGAAAGTAAGTCACGGTGGTCATCACCATTTTACAGATGAAGAAACTGAGGCTCAGAGTGGTTCCATGATTGTTCAAGGTCAGAACAATTTGAAGGAAGAGGAGGCAGACCTAGAATTGTGATGTAGGCCTGACACCCAAACCCACATTATTCTCATTTTCTGGTGTGTGCACTGGACAAGGAAGGCTCCTGTTCTAGACTCTCCTGTGTCCCTGGATCTCAGGCCCTTCTGTCTGTGGCTGTCTTTATTCTGTTCATTAGAGCTCCCCTCACTCTAATCCCTTGATACTCCTGATCTGGCCGCCCAATACTTTCAGCTCTGACCATGTGGCAAATCATGAGGACTACAAAGGCAGGATTGCCCCAACAGCCTCTGTGCTAGCCAGGAATAGCTACCACTTCTCGTCCCTAGCAAGGTGCTGATGGCCATGCTCAGAACTGAAGCTCTCCAGGCAGCCAGACTGGCATCTGAATCCTGGGTGTCCCGCAGCCTGGCCAAGGGCTCTCCTAGCACATGGTCCAGGCAGGACTCCATTCCTTCCCTGAAGAATAGGGATTGGTGAAAAGGATGAGTATGACTTGGGGGTATGTGGTCCTGGGTTCAAACCCTAGCCCTGTCACATCCTGGCTGTGGAATGTACTAATATACAGGTCCTCAAACCTCAGTCTTAATGTCTAAATATACTCAACACAATAGCACGTATCTTGAAGGGTTTGTAAGCATTTGAAGGGCCTGGCACATGGTAGCTGCCAACTGGGAATTCTTTTCAACTTCCGCCCCTTTCTAGGCTGGTTCAGGTGTGCTGCATTCACCTTTGTGTCTGCAACAGCAAACTCAAGGTGCAGCTCATAGTAGAGCTCAATGAAACAGGATAAATCTTGAACTTCATCCTGTCTGTATCTCCGAAGTCTAAGGCAAACTAGGGCCCTCAGCATAAACATGGCCCACTGTCTGGTTTTTAAGAATAAACTTTTTTTGGAATAAATCCATGCTCATTCATTTAATTGTTTATGGCCACTTTCATGTTATGATGTCAGCATTAAATAGATGCAATGGAGACAGTTAGAGCCTGCAAAGCCAAAAATATTTACTTGCAGAAAACGTTTGGGGACCCCTGCTCTTGTGTATGGGAACTTTCAATGGGGGTGGGGGGGAACCTGTGAGGGTCTTTGATGAAGAAGACATGCCCCGGCTTCTTCCTCACCCACACGTTATATCCTCTTTTCCTGGTTTTTCTATTTTTCTCTTTAGCTCTCCGGACCATCACATAACTTCTCTATCACTCACTTCCTCTCACTTCCTTATATATGTTGTTTATTTTCTATCAGTTCCACTATAAAGCTCCATGTGGGCAGGGATTTTTGTTTGTTTTGCTCTTTTATCCTGAAACTTTGACCAGTGCCTGGCACACAAGTGGGCACTCTGCAAATATTTGTTGAATGAATAAACACGGATTTTATGGAAAAAAGTTGTTCAACCAAAGTGTGTTGGGGCTTTCTCTTTCATGGATTAATTTTGAACTTTTAAAGGAACCCAGTAAGTCCTCCTTCTCCCTCACCCCACACACACAACCCCTGGGAGAAGAGTATTATTTTTCTTATAGCTGAGACAACTGAGACTCTGGCTAAGTCAGTGCTTCTCAAACTTGAACATGTACATGAGTCACCAGGGATCTTGCTACCATGCAGGTTCTGACCCAGGAGGTCCAAGCAGGGACCAAGGTACTCCCAGGAGGTGCTCCCTGTCCCTAAACACTCTACCTCCAGTCCTCCCCCCCTTCTGTAGCCACCCCACCTCCAGCATCTTCTGCACGGGCCCCTCGACTTTACTTACACACGTGCCCAGGACTTTCTGATCCTTCAAGTGGCTAATCTTACATTTCTCCACTATTTTAGGGCCTTTGGTTAAAAATAAGTACTTCTTTTCGTGGGCCCCAGACAGGCTGGCTTCCTTTCTCAACTCTACCCCATGACCTGTACAAGTGACTACTGATGGCCAAATGTCAGGGCTATGCCCACTCCCTCCACTTCCATCTGTCTGCAGCAATTCTACTATCGTCAACCTCTCCTCCTGCAATGGCCTTCTCCTTGTGGTCCTTATAGCTCTCTTTCTGCTTCTATGTCAGCTTTTCCAGGTATTCTCTTCCTCCGAACATTTCACCATGGGCTGGCATGAGTTTCACAATCTAGGATCTGTGACTCAGAACTCCAAGTCTGCACCAATTGAAGGGCTTTTGGTTATCCCTGTACCTTGAACTACAAGTACCTGCATATTTATCTCCTACACTCCCAAACTGTTCATGTTTGACTTCATCAGGGTGCCCAGCATAATCAATGCATGATAGAAAGTGGGCATCCAAAGACAGTGCCATTGCACACTGGCTAAGAGACTGAAAGGGTGAGGTGCCCAGGGGTTGTGATGGGTCATTACATGCCCACAAAGACTGTGGAACATCTATGCCATAAGAACCCCTGAAAGATCAAGGAGATCTCAGGGGCCACCATGATATGTGCCTTGGCCCCTTACGGTTTCTGAAAGGGGAAAGAAAGTAACATTTCGTGAGCGGCAACTTTGTGATAAGCACTTTACAAAATCATCTCCTTTCTTCTTCAAGGTAACTCTATGAGCTAGGCACACTGATCCTACTTTAGAGCTAAGAAGAAGGAAGCTCAAAGAGTTCAGAAAATTTTCTCAAGGCTGCTTAACTGGTGAGCTAAAGTCCTGGTCATCTTTCCTACCACAGAGATGGGACTTGAACCCAGGGCTGCATAATTCCAAAAGCTCATAATTCCAGTATTGTGTCATACCCCTATCCCTTTGCAGATGCAGTTCCCTTTGTTCAGAATTCTTATTTCTTCAATATTGGGTAAACCTGTCTCTAAAAACACTGATAACTACCCCTGCCCCATTAACAGTGAGTCACCCAACCAAGTGCTCTCACACCACAGTGCATACAGACACCTCTCAGTTGACGTGTCAAGTATTTGATGTTATGCTGGTCTCTCAGGTAGGCTTGAGCACTGTTAGGGTGAGGCTCCAAGTCCTGGTCATCTCTCCAACCACAGTGTCTGGAATATAATGTGCATGTTCAATGTCTATTTGACAAGTGAATGAATGAGCAAAGGAAGCAAGTTCTTTGGTACTCCTAGTGTTGCTGGTGGGGCTCTGTTGATTTCTAGATAACACGAGGGTAGTAGTACCAGACTCCTATCTGCTCATTGCCTGGATCTAGTGACCTGTGGCCCTAAGAACTGAGCAGAGTGGGTGGAAGGGGCTTTTAGCTCCATCTTCATCTGTGAAGGCTTCGGCAGATGACCACTGACAGTCATGGCCCCTCTCACAAGGCTGGGTTTCCCAGGGTGGAGGACAACATGGAATGATGGGCAATATACTTTACCAGGAGCCAGGCATTCTGAATTGAATCCCATAGTTTTGATAACTGAATGTGTGATTTCACATACCTCTCTGGACCTTGATTTTGAGGTATGGAAAATGTATAATAGGAATATGAGACTAATTCAGTGGTTTTCTAATTTTACATTACCAAGAACCTATTTATGAAATATTTCTCCTTTATCCTCATGCTTTGTAAAGGTCTGGTTTAATATTGAGAAAAATCATCATCGTTATTTAGAAAGTGTGATAATAAATGAACCGGCAATCAGCCAACAAAATGCAGTGACAGCATGAGATAACTCAGGCTAAAACCCAGCTGAGATACTTCCAGTCCAAAGCAAAGACCTGGATGTCACCTGTGAAGCTGTTTCTAGATAAAGTCATGATTCCCTGTAGACTTCCTGAAATAGTGGAAACAGTTGAGGAATTTCTTCCTAACCTTTAAGCCCCCAGCGCTACACAAATGGACTCCAAAGTTGCTGAGACTGTGATTCTGTTTTATGTGCACAAGTCTTGCAGGAGGATTAGGTTGACCTCTTGCTGGAAATTGAGGATTTCTACCTAGAAAATTACACTGACAACAGAGAAACAGCCCTGCACATCTCCAAAGATAGGGGGTGAAAAATCCAAGATGGCAGAAACATAATGGATACGAACAATGACTGTGTTTTCAAATGGCAAACATCTACACAAAATAAAAACTGGGGCTACAAACGGCTTAGACAGAAGTGAGTATGAGAAACCCACAGACACTTGGTTGGTGCAGGGAATGCATGCTACAGGTTCCCTTACAGGGCACAAAGTAAAGTTAACCCAGGGTCGATACTTACAAGTAATAGGAGTAGGAATAAGCATTTCTTCTATATATTGATGGGCAGTCAGATGAAGGAAATGTCCAAAAAGGGGGAAAAAGAAAAGACAAATAAACAAGAATTAGATTTATATAAAATCTTGATTCTTAGAAATGCACATAGTATTTCAGCATCCCTAAGCTCAAGGAGATGCACGTTTCTCTACTAGTCATCTTTGCTGAGAATCAGACACTTTCGGTGCTAGAAAAAAAATGAGAGAGACCTCTTCTATGATGGAGAAACGCACTACTCAAACGGAGAAAGCCACATCTCACGTTGGCTATGTCAGTTGCTTGAACGTTCTTTCTTACAGTCACCTAAAACTAGCACTGTTGATTATGACATTTTAGTCTTGGGTCAGATTTCTCTGGCCTTTTGCTGAGAATCAGACACTTTCGGTGCTAGAAAAAAAATGAGAGAGACCTCTTCTATGATGGAGAAACGCACTACTCAAACGGAGAAAGCCACATCTCACGTTGGCTATGTCAGTTGCTTGAACGTTCTTTCTTACGGTCACCTAAAACTAGCACTGTTGATTATGACATTTTAGTCTTGGGTCAGATTTCTATGGCCTGGAACTAGTCTATCACTCTTTCACATGACAGTGCTGCTATGATCAAAGGAAAACCATAATGACTTCTATCTTTTCTGTTTCAGGTCAAATCACATCAGTCTCTATTTAGCAAGGTCATGCCAGAAGCAAGGAAATCATGTAGCCAGCATCCAAGATGGCTCCCCAGTGATCCACACATCCCAGTGCTCACACCTATGTGTACTGTCTTGCCCCACATTGAATCAGAGCTGACCCTATATAACCAATAGAATATAATAGATGTTATGCTTTGGGACTTTCTAGAATTGGTCAAGAAGAAGCCTTGCAGCTCAGACCGGGTCTTTGCAACTCTCACTTTGAACCCTGAGTCTCCGTGTAAAAAGTCCAAGTATTCTGAGGTTGACATGCTGGAGAGAGCATGCAAACCGACCATGTGAGAGGCCCCAGGAGGGCATGAAGAGCTCCAGCCAGACCCAGCAGTTCATAACCAGAGCAAAATTCAAACTTCATGAAAGAGCACTGTACTAACAGAGAGAAATTCCAGTCTTTAGTCTGAAGAGACTAAACTGGAATAAACGCTCTGTGCCTTCATTTCTTAATCTGATTCTTAGATTAGTTGAACTAGGTCAATGACATGGGTAAATACCAATTTACATGCTTCGAGGTGTGGAAACATATGATGCCTCAGCATCCTAGTACTACCACTTGCTAACTGATGGCCTTGAGCAAATCACTAAATATCTCAATTTCTCCATCTCAAGGTTGAGGGTAATAATTATTGCCTTCATTTCTTAATCTGATTCTTAGATTAGTTGAAATAGGTCAATGACATGGGTAAATACCAATTTACAGAGCTTCGAGTTGTGGAAACATACGATGCGTTAGCATCCTAGTACTACCACTTGCTAACTGATGGCCTCGAGCAAATCACTAAATATCTCAGTTTCTCCATCTCAAGGTTGAGGGTAATAATTACCTATTTGCAAAAGTCATTGTGGGCATTAACATTAAATTATGTTCATCTAAGTTACATTCAAATTATATACGATATATAAAATATTATAAGAAAATTATATGAATCTAAAGCAATAGATTATATTAATCTAAACACCTGAAGTGTTTAGATTAATAGAGTAGGCCTCAATAAAGAGGAATTTATGACCCTACCTCATTCACAAATATAAGGTTTGCCGCTTCTCACTCTGGTGACCAAGAACAAAGTGTTCACCTCTTTAGGAATATTAAAATAGTAATAAAATACAAACAAATACTTAAGTAGCACTATTGTATAGTCAGGCATTGTTCTCGGCTGTTATCAGGCATTAAATTATGTATTCCTCACAACCATCCTGGCAGGTAAGTATTACTATCACCCCCTACATTACAGATGAGGAAACTGAGGCAAAAGGGGTTAAATATCTTGCCTAAGATCACTCAGTTGGTAACCAGATTTGATTTAAACATGGCTCTAAAACTCATGTTCTTGATCACTAAACTGCTTTTTTTTTTGAGAAAGGAAGAAAACAGATGTGTGAGTCAGGCATTGAGATGCCACATATTTATCTCTTTTAATCCTACCCACAGCTCCAATAATAGAGCATTATTTTCATTTTTATTTGAGTAATCTCAGCTCTAAGAGGTCACTCTTCACTAGGGCTAAGGTTTTGTGTATTTTTGGACCAGTTGCAAGACCTCCATCCTGAGCCAGGATTTCATCACTGTCAGCAGCCCCAGGCTGCACTCAACATTCTGGACCCTCTGGCTTTTATGCTGTTAACCTTCAGGACTCACCTCTGCCTGGACTACCTCCTCATGACAACATGCTTCCTTAGCCTTCAACCTCCACTTCCAAACAGCTTTTCTGAGTTATCCTTCTTGTTACCAAAAGCGAGTGCTATCAAGGCAACTCCAGAATGACTACAACTGACAATCTTTTATTAATTGAGTACCTTTTCCCAATTAAATGGCAAAGTGTTCCAGGCAGGGATTATAGTTCTTTATTCTGTGACCAAAACACAGTATATATGTGTGCTTTCTGTAAGGCTTAAAGAAGATTTACTGAAGGTCTAAATTTACAAGAATACAGTGATATTGCAAGTAACAGATTGCCTAAGACCAAAAATCCTGAGCAGGAAGACAGCTGTGCTTAGAAAAAAAAACCAAAACCCAAACTTAATAAATAATGTACTGCAAAATCTTATTTTCAGCTGGCTTGTAAGACTGACTTGAGACACAGCTTCCCTTTTTGTTCCATGCTATGTAAACAGGACTAAATTGTCTATTTAACCATCTAGTTGACCACCTACCAATCCATCTAGCACATACTGGTAAACCCATCCATCCCTCTCTCCATCCAACCATCCATTTAGCTACCCACTAAACAATCTATCCATTTAGCCCATAAACACACACACACACACACACACACACACACACACACACACACACACACACACACACATTCATCTAAATGGAGATACTCCCCCTGTGTATCTCCATGCAGCCCCGACTCTATAGGGTCCTGCTTTAAAAAAAACCCAGTCCAAAGAGCCAAAGGTATACAAAAAGAATTCTAAACTTTAACTTGCATCTTTTACAAACTGTAAGGGAACCCTGTTTGAATCACCCACCATCTCAGAATCCTTTCTGCAACCTTTCATTTTTCAAGGTCCCCTCTACCTATTACAAAACAACCAAGCAACGACAGCAAAACATCCCCTCTCTCTTTTCTCTTCTATCTTTTTTCCCCTTACATTTTGAATGTAATTGATTTAGCTTCTTTCATTACTAGTAGTAAGTCCTTCCCCTTGTCCCCTGTACCTGTAACCCATTCTCTGTCTGATATCTAGTTCACTATCACAAAAGAAAACAACTAACAGCAAGAGACAAACTCTCTTTGGAGAGTGACAAAGAAACCCTAAGGCCAAAGAGGATGAGCATTTCAGGGGAAGAATCTAGGGACATCTTATGTATCCTGGAAATATTTGGCCACAACTTTGGTGAAGACTTTGAACCAGTTGGACCCACGAGGAGCAGGGAAAACGGAGCACCATGCCCGTGTCCATGAAGGTTAGGGAAAAGACCTCGATCGAGCCAGGGAAGGGGATGCAGCAGGTGTTGGACTTCTGGACCCAGGAACTAACTGTGGATCATGATGGGACTGAAGAGATGCTGATACAGGATCCTGAGTTGTGATGATTTGCCTATTACTTAGGGGTTTCTTTTCCTTTAATAACAGTTTCCCTTTAGGTTGCTGAGGACAGTGTTCTCGCCAGCAGTAAATTAGTGACAGACTCAATCGGCAATGAAGTTTTCCCCATAAGAAGGAGCCCATGAAACCCTTTACTGGCCTTTGGGAATTTCTAGACATGAGAAAACATTGCAGGTCAGTGGAAAGAGTGTAGGTCTAGGCTTAATTTCTCTTTTTCTCCCTCTTTACCTTCCTCCTCTTTTCTTCTCTCTTCCCCTTTGCCCATCAGTACATGATTATCAACTAGTTCAGCAAAACAAATTTTCTCCAAAAGATACTGCATATGTAAACATTGATTGGCAAACTCGCAACCTCCGCCCACGGCTACAACACCTGAGATTTGCCTCTTGGGGAGAAATGGTGATCATGTGACAGCTGCTGGCTGGGTGTGATGGATGATTTTCATAGAGGTGGAAGATGAAGATATGCAGAAGAGGTTAAAAACACACAAAGGGACTCCCTTTATACTTGCTCTCACCCAGGAAACAGAAAGCTCTTTCCTCCCTCCCCAAAAGTCACACGTTTCAGAAATAGCTGTTGGGAAGGAAGTGAAATTTCTTCACAAGCTCGCAGACGATGGTGACGTGGGGGTAAGCCAGGCTTTAGAAAGAGCAAAATTGGAGGAGCATATCTGACTTACAAATCAGTGACAAAGAATGAGAACACTGCAGGTCTATCAAACAGAAATGCAATTCTATTAAACTGGCTACTTTTTCCAGGTAGACAATGCCAGCCTCCAATGTGCCTGCGATTCTAAGAAACATGATGATGATCTTGTAAATGCAATGCGCTTACCCCCCTCCTCTAAAGAGCAAAATTGGAGGAGCATATCTGACTTACAAATCAGTGACAAAGAATGAGAACACTGCAGGTCTATCAAACAGAAATGCAATTCTATTAAACTGGCTACTTTTTCCAGGTAGACAATGCCAGCCTCCAATGTGCCTGCGATTCTAAGAAACATGATGATGATCTTGTAAATGCAATGCGCTTACCCGCCTCCTTCTCCCCCATCCCAATCAAACCTAGCAGCTGACTTATCACCAAGACATTCAACATGGCCACATTTTAAGGATGATGGTAATAATATGACAACGCAGTGCTGTCCTTAACCCTCTGGGGGATCTTGCTCCCCAATATTAACATAGTGCCTTCCCTTCCCCTAACCTCTCCAACCACAAAATCAGCAGCTGGATGAGAACCTTAACTCTTCAGTCATTCACTTGGGAGCCTGAGGAAGAGAGCAGTCCTGTTAGACAAACGATGTCAAAAAAGGACAAGCTCCTACCAATAAGATGTCCTGGCACAGCACGCACTGACTGATTGAGAACAGAACCTTCTGAGACACAGGGACATTCTGGTGCCACAATGGCTAAGAGAAGGCTGACAGCGTGTATAGTGGGAACCACGACATTTCTGACTCATTGATGGCTGAAAATGGGAAATTATTATTGTTTTTGTTTCATTTTCTTTATTTATATATTCACATAACCCCTTAAGTAGAAGCTGGATCACCTTGTCTTTGGGGCAATCTGTCCCTTTGTTTTTGTGGGGAGTGAATTTCAGGAGCACTTTTTATTTACAGATGGAAGCAAGCCCCTGGTCCTTATTACTGGGCTTGCCCTGAACTCTGTGAGTAACCAAATCCAGAGCTTCAGGCTGAGGTGTTAAGCAGTTTGTTTAATAATGTAAGAGTCTCTTTAACTTGGGGGCAGGGAAACTTGCAGGACATATTCTTACAATATAGGTACATGTTTGGTTTGCTCTGGCAGATTCGGGAAGTGGAAAGATGGAGGCCAAGGTTGGGATCATGGTATTGAAGCTCAGAAGACATGAAGATGTATGATAGGCATGGAAACCTGGTACCAGGCAGGGGCTAAGCAGAGGTGAGCGGGAGGACCTTCTGTTTAGAAGGATAACCAGTACACTATAGGCATAGTCACAGCTAATGTTGATCAGCTTTCCTGGTGGATATTTTCCTTCCCTCTCTGCAATTCCGCTCATTATCCTCCCCTTGTGAGTGCCTGATAAACAAGATGGCAGTGTAGGAATCTTGGGGATGAGGGAGGGATCTGTACCCTGGCTTTCATAAACAATACAGTCTAGAGAAAACACACACCATAGGAAAACACTGTGTTAGTTGACGTGCGCAGGGAGCCATCCTGTTGAGAGGTGACAAGCAGCACCAATCCAGCTGGGCAGGTTTTTGTGGGACACAGAGGAAGGAAGGAACTTTCCCTTGAGACTATCCCACTACTGAAAGCTTTATCCCAGTCATGCCGAGCAAGGGCACCGGGAATGCTGCTGCTTGACCAAAGGGAAATCAGGGGTAAAAGAGGATGAGAAGAGCAGAGCATTACTTTTCTGCATCTGCATTTCTGGGCTCATCTGTGTTCCTGGGACTCCTCAGTTATTTTGATGACATGACCAATCACAACAGAGCAGTGAAATTAGAGAAGACCTGTTTCATGATATAAAGAATCCCACAGCACATCAAGGTGGCCGAACCACTATCCCATAAGAAACTGACCATCTCAGGGCCACACACAATGCAGGCAGCACATGCCCTCAGTCACCAACAAGATGAACCACAACTGACCCAAGTATTTCAGGACCTCGGCAACCACAGCCATAGGTCCTTGCTGGAAAGTGATTAACAGAGCAATGACCTGGCCATGTGGCAGTGTTGTGGCCACCTGCAGTCGCCATAGTCGGCAGGACAGCAACCCAGACTCACCTCCTTTTGATGGTGAGCATCACGCCCAAGAGAATGATGATGAACATGAGAAGACCAGCAATCACTCCAGCCATCTTCACGGTGTTGTCCACTTGCTTCTCTGGCTCCACGGTGTTAGAATTCTGGGTGGAGGCACCTTGCAGGGGAAAAGGGGAGGATAAAGATGTTGAAAGGGCTCATACATGTAGCTAGACGATAATGGCAATGACAATGGCTTATATTTATTGAGAGCTAACTGTGTGCCAGGCACTGTGCTAAGGGTGTTACACAAATAGTACCATTCAATCCTTCTGAGGATGAATCCCTTATGAGGTTGGGATTATTATCATATCCTTTTTTTTCTTTTTTTGTTGTTGTTGTTGCAGATGTAAAAAGGGACATTCAGAGAAATTGAGTCCCCTAGGGTTACACAACCTTATCATCCTCTTTATCTTCCTTATCCTCAGTTGGAGGATTTTATCCCTCATACTGCTTATCTCTAGGATCAAGTCATGGAATTACAGTTTGATTCTTGGGTTCATGAAATTATTCCAAACCCTACTTCATCCTTTCATGTAAATGGTGAAAACACCAGCTTTATGTTAAGGTAACACAATAAAACTCACTGTATTTACAAAGATTAAAAACAAAGTTTTGTGTTGTGCCTCACAGGAAGCAAATGGTGAGGTAGAAATTTAGTTTTTTAAAAGGAAATTTCCTTGGATTTGAATGCTTGTATGTGACTAAGTCCATGTTTTGAATGTAGTGCTGATGCTGCAGGCTCTGCCAGACTTGAACTCAGTTCCAAATAGAAGTGTCCTCTGCCCCGGGCTGGGCCCTTTCATGGATCCACCTTTGTCAGTCCTCACAAACACTCCAACAAGCAGAAATGATTTTCCCATTTTGTAGATGAGAAAACCAAGGGAACTTGCTGAAGGTCACATGGCTGATAAAGGTCAGGGCCAGGATTCCACAGGTTTCTGATCTGATTCTAGGCCTCAAGAGTCAGAAACTCTGTATTCCACTTTCAAGTCCCCTGCCCCCATACAATGATTTTGCAATAGCAAAAGCAAGCAGGCAGAGAATGCCTCAGCTCGACCTCTTCATGCAACATACCAGGGAACAGAGGCTACTTCCCCCTCGAGACACCTGTGTGAACACTGCTGGAGAGCACTGCTGGCCTGGCACCCCTAGGAACCCTTCCTGCTGCTCTTCAGCTTCCCAATGGTGCCAGGGAGGCCCCTAAATCCAAAGCATCCTCTTCCTCACCCATCCCTATTTTTCTGCTACCTCAGCACCAGCTCATCCATCATCAGCTACATCTTCTCTGGTTGCCTGTGCCCCTGGGAGGGTTCCTGTCTTTCCTCTCATTTCTGATAACTCTCTGTAACACTTTGCGCATACCTGAATGTCCCAATATTATTAGTTATTTGTTTCCCCATTTGTCTCCTCCAGTGGTCTGCAATCTCCTCAGGGGTGAGGTTATGCCTCCTCTATCTTTGCTTCCTCGTGTTAGCCCAGAGCCTGGCTCCTAATAGGTGTTCCCTTAATGTTTGCATTGTTCAATGTTTAGCTGAAGGGATGACATCGCTGCCCACACACATTTGTTCTCATGAAACCAAATTGAGTTTCTCCTTTTCCAGCCACGTGTTCAGAGAACTCAGCTGAGTTGAAGGGACATTAATGCCTGTAAGCTATGATTCTGACTCCCCAGACTCCCTGATGGTTAAGAACATCCCTCCAGCACACGGATGCATCCCCTCTTCTTGCTTAAGAGCATCCAGTGTTTACTTTATCAGAGCACCTTCCCCAGACTCTCTTGTAACTTAGACAAGCTGGGTTTACTCAGCCAAGCCTCCCTAGTGAGAAGGGCAAGTCTTCCAGAACAGGGAGTGCGTCCTAGTCACCTCTCTAACACCAGTGTCTAGTCCAGGCCTCCTTCCTTATAATTGTTGGTTAACAGATGATTATTGAATGTCATATAGGCAAGTGAACCAACAGTTATTTGCTTCATTCATTAATTTGCTACTGAGTACCCATGAAGTGTGCCAAACTGGGCTCTGTGCCAAAATGCTATCAGTGGGATCAGAGTTCCTCCTTTTGGAAGGAGTTATGGAGGAGGGATTTTTTTTTCAGTTTCTCTCACCAGCTAAAGACAAAACTAGAGTATCAAATCCCAACACCATCTGCACAGGCTTTACTTATCTAGAGCCAGAGAATTCCTGGGGGAGCCAGCTCACCGCCTCTTTGGCAGGGCTGGGCTCACATTCCAGAGTTGGGGCTGGTTCCCAGTAGCCCCCACGCAGCTCCCCTTTCCCAGTTTGGAAACAAGAATTCTGAGCTATGTCTAGTCCCAGAGACATAGGATGTGACTAAGCACACAGGAGGCTGAGCACCTCAGTGCAATTTCCTTAATAGTGTCAGAGTCTTTGTATTTGGATTTGAAGGGATGGTCGGCTCTGGAGCATCTGCTCACAGGCGTAGCTGAACTTGACTTAGTGCCCGCTATGAGATCCTGTTCTAGAGACTGGGGTACAAAGGCAAAGGGGACCCTGCAAAAGGTCCCAATTCCCCAGGAACACTGTTATTAGCTTGGTCTATGAGAGTCACACTTCATTCCTTCCAGACATAATCACAAGCACCCTCCATGTGCCAGGCATTTGGTGATACACAGTGAGAAAACAGGCACACCTCCTGCCTTCAAAGAGCCTACAGTGAGTGTTGGATGGGGCTTAGGGGACAGGCTTAATGAACAAGAACCAATAATAGTAAGCTTTCAACTCTATTAAGGATTAGAACTGAGAGGCACGTGACACTTGGGAAGTGTATAATGGGGAAATGAATAAGTGAATCTCTTCTGGGAGGAAGTGGCCAGTGGGGTGAGCTCCAGGGGAGGACAGGCTCTAACTAGTGGAAGAGAAAATGAGAGGGTCACATGGGAACAGCATAAAAAACAGCCCTGGCCCAGGCTGTGTGATGGGGCAAGGAGCCCAGAGCATTCAAGAAATGAAAGAGATGTAGTGTGATGAGGGTGAGAGAGAAGCTGGAGAGGACAGCACAGGTCGGTCCACACTGGACACAATAGGCCGCAATGAGAGTTTTTGTCCTTAACCCCAAGAAAAATAGAAAGCCATTTGAGTGTTATTCATGGGGCAATGATGCAGTCAGATTTGTATTTCCAACACATCATTCCAGCTTCACTGTGGAGCCAAAGTGGATGGGAGAGATAAATTTTGCAGGCAAATGGGTGGGGGATGATAGTTGCCAGACTCAGATAATTGCAGTGCAGACAGAAAGATGCAATAAGAGAGATAATTACCTGAATTAGATATAAATAAAACCTCTTGATGGATTGGATAGGGGAATAAGGGAGAGGGAACTGACGAGGAGGATCACAAGTCTCGGGCTTTCATAACAAAGTGGATGATGGTGCTTGCTGTTCATGGATTCAGGAAACAATAGAAAAAGAATAGCTTTAGAGGGAAAATGTGTGTGTTTGGGGAAATCTGAGCTTGAGAGATACTCTAGAAAAGTAGGAGCTCTAAAAGGAGGTCTGAGCTGGAGGTAAACATGTGTGACTCATATGCACCTAGATGGTACTTGAAGCTGGGAGTTGATGAAGTCACCCAGGGGGGGAATAAAGAGTGAAAGGAGACGCAGACTTAGATAGAGACTGGAAGGTCTGTGGTATTTAGTGAGAGGGTCGAGGAAGATGAGAACTGGCCAGACAGGTAAAAAAAAGAACCAGGAGAGTATTGTGTCCTAGCACCAATAGAAGAGGGTGTTTCAAGAAGGAAGAAGAAATCAACAGTGCCAAGCACTGCTCCTAAGATAGAATCAAGCTCTATACCCAGATGACAGTGAGATTTTGGATGAGTACTTGAAAACCTTTCCCAAATAAATTCTAAAATGTTTCTAAACAGAAGCACCTTCAGCAGTGATCATGAACTAGCAATGGGACATACTTGGGGGTCACAGAGCATCTGTGACATTCAGAGAGGCCACCTCAACGGCCACAGCCCAGTGATTTAGACAGATTTAATAAATTCAGCCGAGAGTCATCGAACTGAAATGCCAAACTCTATACAGCAAAGTTACTATGAGGAGCCATGCTTGGCTGGTCCACCTAGTCTCCAGATACAGGGACATGAACATCCCTGGGACATCGCAAGTCTAACTCCCACTTCAGCTTCCTTTTAAGGGCCTTTGCTCTGGCTGCTGGGGATCTAAGTTACTATGAGGAGCCATGCTTGGCTGGTCCACCTAGGCTCCAGATACAGGGACAAGAACATCCCCTGGGACATGGCAAGTCTAACTCCCACTTCAGCATCCTTTTAAGGGCCTTTGCTCTGGCTGCTGGGGATCTGTGCCTCTGTTCATAAAGGAAGTGCTGACAGTGTTCAAAGGGGATACAGTATAGAGGAAAGGGCTCTGGGATCAAAGGCCAGGCAGGATGCACACGTGGCTGCTACATCTGAGAGGAAAACGAGAGGGATAGAGACAGAGGATAAGCCAGTCCTGGTCTTGTTGCAGTCAGGAATGTGTCCATGGGGCTCACATCTTAAGTGCTCCCCGAGCAGATGAGAACCTGTGAGAGGACTTAGGAAGCACATGAGGTTGGCTAATGATGGGGGCTCCTGGCATTGTGATCAGCTGTCTCAGGCAGGCGCAGGGCTCCTTATCAAACAGAAGCTCATATCACTACTTCTTAAAAATTTAGCTTAAATGTACTGATCCATTACTGGTGCCAAGCAATGTGCCAAGCACTTTTCATATAATAAGTCATTTGATCTTCTTAGCACTCGACACAGAAGGAGCTGGTTTTATTTTCTCTTTTATATAGATTAGAAATGTTCACAAAGGGTGACGTGACTTGTCCCAGGCATTAATCTAACTAATGAGTTTCAGAGCTGGGATTCTGTGTTTGGGACTCATCCCCTATCACTACAATGAACTGTCCTTGATGGAGTTGTAGTTAAGGAAATGCCAGCTCTCAGTCCACATAGAAGAAAAGTCATCTGACCCACTGGCCTGAAATCCAAGGGAACTCGTCTGAGAGGCAGAACTGGGAACCATTCAGTAATATGGTAGTTACATTCCATTTGTGCTAAGCCCATCCTTTTCATGAGAGTCAAACCCCAAAAAGCTCTGTCCCTG